TAATCACAATGTCCTTATGGTCACAATGTTACAGTTCCAGTGAGGGACCCTTGTTTGCATTGCTATCTCTACGCTCTGTCCCAGATGTTTCATGCCCATATCTATGGTTAACTGTCAGGCAGCAATTATGGACAAGAAGAGTAACTGAAAACAATCCACTCAGCATTACATTTGCATAAAATGTATTTGCTTGTGCCACAAGCGATATGTATGTAATTATATTATACTATATATACTATATATATAAATATGTGTATGTAACATATGATATATATATATTATATGAATGTAATTCTTAGAAGACCTGGTTGGCCCAGCGTTTTGAGATATTCCCCCAATACACACAACATACAATGGCAGTTGTATATTGAATTTGCTTCATCTGTGAAATTTCCGCTATCAGTTCTGTTTCATTGGGACTGTTTTGTTTTGGCAGAAATCCACAGACCAGGTTGCGGTGTCACCCAGTTTTTCATAGCATGTAATCCAGAACACTGACTCTTAGTACTAAATACTTTAGGGTGTTTTTTTTGGTTTGTTTGTTTGTTTTTTGTTTTTTAAATGTATTTTCTCAATGCTTTGACACCACAAAGAAATTATCTGTTTCACTAGCCCTTGTATTCAGGGGGAAGCAGCCTAGATACTATATTCTAAATACTCAAAAACTATCCTGCATCCGCTAAAGGATACCACCCAGTTAGGTTTGTATGATATTCATTTTAAAAACTGACTATTAACAAGGTTAGGTGGTCTAATACCAGAAGCATAACTAATTATGCTATAAACCATTTTAAGAGATCAATCCGTTCTAGGTTCTGCTCCTCACGATGTGCAGCAGAGCATTTGTCACCACATAATGTTGATTTTAAGCAAGCGCACCACTGTAGCCTCAACAGTTCACAAGTCATGTTGTGTGCTGTGCTTGCATGCAGTACTTGACCAACCACACTTGCAAATCCCACTCAAGAGAAATGCTTTTAGTAGACAGAACGACAGGCCCCAAAGATGGAGCCGCTTACTGCAATGCAAAATAAATCACCTGCGAACCAAACTGATTAGTCTATTAAAAAATGGGGGGGAGGGGGCTAAACGGCGGGATGAGCGAATAAGAGGGACATGCGCATCAGTGTGTGGAGCACGCGAGCAGTTTAAAAGCTGAAGAGGAAACACAGAGCTTTTGGCATCCTGGCCAAGCAGGGCCAGATTTACTACCAAAAAAAAAAAAAAAAAAAAAAAAAAAAAACTAGAGTACTGTACACCTACATCCACAGGCGTTTTTACAAGAGGGTGCGTGGAGGTGACTGGTTGATTGCTGACATGACAGCCATTTGCTTTTCTTCTTTCAGTCAGCCACCAGAAAAACAGATTACTCCTAAAGCTGCCTCCACCTGAGCACCGAACTCCATCACAGATATGAAAAAAGAGGTGTGCGTTGAACTGGGAATGTTTGGCGCCCTCTTCCAGATGGTGAATTTTGTCCTTACTGTCCTAAGCCTGGCACTGCCCCAAACAAGAAGTATCAGTATGGTAACCAAATACAAAAGCCTTCATTCAGTCCAGTCGAGTATCTCATCAAACTTTGGATATAGCCTACGGTAGATGACAAGCTCTAATTTTACCTACCAAGCAAAAATGTTTCTCCAGAAGGCAAAATGCAAGTCAGGGCTTCCCTTATCATCCTGAGCACCCCTGGGCACGCTTGTGCTTTTATAGTCCATCGTCCAGCCAGTGACAGCAGATTTACTTGAGTGTGAATCTGACGAGTAGCTTGGAAGTTCAAATATCTGGCCAAAAGATTGGGAAGGCCTTGTTTTGGCCCTCCCTTTACGCCTAGCTGATTTGAGAGTGATAAGGGCTTCAAGCACAAGTAAGTTTTGAACCATTTTGTGCTGAGGTGAAAACGAAGATGCATTAGAGTTTTCTTTACCACAGAATATAAAAGATTTCAAGAGGCATGCTTTATGTTGTGACAGCAGCTGTGCAAAAGTCTGATGCGGGTTTTCAAAACATTACTGTCTGAAAGAAGTTGATTTTGTTTTGCCATTGATTGCAGGGGTTGATTTTAGTTAATTAACTCTCTTGAAAGTTTGCTGCTGCTCCAATCAGTGTGTTAATGTGGAAAGATGTTGCTCAGGAGGTAGTCAAACCCACAGAGAATTTTCACCTGACTCAGTAGTCAACACTTCAGCTCTTTTTTAAGGAGTGGATTATTGTTTTCCAGCTCATTGTTTTTGGTGACGAGTACATTTACTGCCATCACTGTTCCAGGGTAGCAAGGCTATGTGTTTAACTTAGCTGCATGGTTCTAAGAAGCTAGCGCTAAAACATAATCTACCTCATCAGCAATTCATTTGTATTTACCAGATTTTAAAAGATTTAAAAAGGGAGTGTTAAAATAATTTATACTCACCCTCCTGCGGCATTTAGGAAAAAATACAATTCCCTCCACCATCATTAGCAAATCTCATCTTTAGTCTTCATTAGAGAAAAGAAGCTATTTCTTATCAAACAACCATAATTAATAATGCATCCCAAGTTGAACTTTTAAAAGCCTTGTTCCCACTGTAAAACTGCACATATGCACCTAAGAACAGTCTCAGTCCCAGAAACTACATTTCCCCATTTTATACATGATCCACTACATGATCTAAAAACAATCATGTAGCCTAAAATGTCAGTTTTTTAGCTTTCAAATAAATTTCAGGTATTATGTGCATTCTTTGTGTTCCTATAACCAGTTGCTGATATTTTCAGGTGTGGTTTTCATTCTATCTGATATTTCATAAAAAAAAAACATCCCTGTTAAAATTAAACGACTATGACCTGGCCACAGGATTGTACCTTGGCTTTCACCGATGCATGCTGGACAATGCTCTAACACCCACTGAGCTAAATAGGTGAAGAGAAATGTATATTAAAAGGTGGAAAGATTAGATGACTGGGAATTTAAAAAAAAAAAAGCGTTTATTGTATTTTTTGGCCTACAGATACTTCCCTTTTCTCTTTTTGCAACTGTTGCTACATGTCATATTATTAATTTTCTCTATAGACATACTTTAATTGTCACCTAATCCAAAAATTATACTAATGGTTAACAAGCATCTCTTGTTATTGCGTATACAACGTGTGCAGTGTTTTTAAGTATGATAAGTTTTATAGTTTGTAACAACTCTGAACAAAAAAAATGGCATGAACAGACTTGAGCGCCTGCTGGCAGTGATGGGAGTCATGCATAAATCCAAATGAACACGAGCGCCAAATAATCAGTGAAAAGGGGATATTAAAATGTCAACATTCAAGTCTGCCAAACAAGTTACAATGACAAATAATATGCCGTGTTCCCTGTAAAAAGGCCTGCGCAGTGCAATTTCTATTCTTTTGGAGATTTAAATATTAAGATTGCTGGAGCTTAGTGAACGTGGACAACAGAGTTAAGTATGATTACAGAAATAAATAGATTAGATGAGAGCCTGCGTGGTGGGGAGTGACAGGTTTAATCCAACCGTACATGGAGTGTTACCTTTCTGAAGTAGAAAGTAGATGAAAATAGTATCCAGGGCGTTATGTGCTGAAAAGCCCCTGGGAAGCTTTATTCCCAGGCTGACCTAATCAGACTGTTTGAAGTGAGCGTTTGAGCCTCAGGTGGGCGGCACAGGAGAGCCCTCAGAGGAGTGAGGACAACGGAGTGGAACATGATTCATAAGTAAAGAACTATGATGCCACTAGGACATGAAGTTTTATGAGTTGTTTTCTAATAATCTGTCCCCATCCGAGGTGGGCCACTAAGAGGTATTGGTGTTTGGACCATAACGTAATTTATGCATGACAAGAGTTGTATTAATCTTAGATTTTATTTCTAAAAGTATTTTTTTAATGAGATAATTTATTTTGAGTCACAAAACTAGTAGAATGACATAAACATTTTGGAACTGGTCCAGATGTACTGTAAAAAAAAAAAGACAACAACAAAAAAAAACAGATAAAAAATAAATCGACACGACCCTTCTTTAATCGTGATTCATGCCAGGCCAAAGACGGAGACAGAAATAATCCCAATACAGTTAATTATAATTTATGACATATATGCTTCCTTACAGTTATATCAGGTTTCTTACCATATATAGTGTCACCTAAATAAGGAGATATATAATCATCACATTATATACATCTTTTGGATATATGAAG